TCCAGGGTGAGGTGCATCCCCCAGACGAGGGTGAAGACAGCGGCAACTTTGTATCACGCGACTTTGCGAGAGCGCCTTCGGTTTTCTCCGTCGAGGCACCCTCGGTGGCTCGCCGTAACTATGTACCAGATGGCGGTCCTACGGTACGGCCAGGCTCTTTTATTTGGCCTTCTGTTTTTGTTCCTCACAAGGGTGTACGGGACTCTCGAGGCCCCCTGAGGTCAAAAAATAGTCGCCTTTATACGTGCATCATTTACCAACACCTGCAGTGGAGTATGCCTATGGCCGCGGAGTTTTCTGCTTAGTAGCAAAACCTCGGACGTGTTTTAACTGGGTTGGAATCAGGAGGATTTCCACTTAGGTGTACCTACATTGTATGAACTCAAAAGTTATGAAACCGAACATATGACTGTGTGTTAGCTTTTATTTGCCTTTATTACCATGTCTTTTGTGAACGTGCTAGTAGCAAACTAGTTTTGTTGTCATTTTAGCCTACAAATGAGGCCGCCGTTCAGGCAACAAATAATGCGTCAGTGGCTCTACCGGAAGTAAAGGTAAGCTGTTGCCAAACAAACTTTTTTTCAGCCCTACGAACATATTTCTCTAATTTGTATGCGTGTTATTGATTATTGTCAGGTCTATTTATTAAAACATACGTCTCGCCAAAGACTGCAACTTTCGACGGCATTTCCAAAGGGGGTTTAGAGTATTCCAGCATGAACCGAAAAAATTGTACCTTTCTTATAAATTCGGCTTTCCAGAATTTATGCAACATGGAAAGACTATAATTTAATAAACAGATCCCATCCATACAAGTCCTACTTACTTAAATTTATTACCTTGGGTGTTGCAATGATTTCTTTCGCAACTAAAACCTTGCAGCTGTTGACTGAGCACGTGGCATAACTTTGGAATATAGCGTACAGTTTTATACAAGAGTTTTATTCCGTGAATTACGTTATCTGCGTGTATCACAAAGACCAGAAGCGTTAAAGACACCGAAAATGATTCAGTTTTGTCTCTCTCAACGGTTTCATAAAGTTCAATTTCCACATACGTCTAGCCTTGAAGCCATTTTGACATTTCTTAGACAATTTTTCCAAGTTGCTCAAGTTATGTCTTTTCCTTTAGCTGCATATCAATAATCTCCGGGAGCTCATCACAGCTGAGAAGTCCCGATTGAAATATCAGACTGATGAGATGCACGACCAGTTACAAGAACTGCACTCCCTCTTCAAAAACCTTACTGAAAAATTAGTTCGCTGTAGTGTCGATGACTCGAGCGCGGATCGGTCGAAACTGCTTGAAATTGAAGTAAGCCACTCAGAACGAAATTACTGCATGCTTTAAGAGCTAACTATTTTACTCATGGCAGACATTAAAAGTAAATTTGAAGGATTGTTATCCATGATTTTTTAAACGACGCAACTCGGTGTATTTGATTCTTTGTCATCCTCAACTGGAGCAAAAACACGGCGTGCAGCGTCAACAGAACGGAGTGTTTCAACTTTGAAGACCACACTAGGGCACCAGTGTTCGTTGCCTAGCAACCACAAGTCCTAAATATACACAGTATCTACAAGTCTATTTCATCCATCGCGCCGACATTTGCCACTTTGTCGTCACAGAAATTAAGCAATACCTGCTTCTTGAACAAGATCTCGTTTGGTATTGCTTAATTTTTGCTTCTAGGATTTTTTATTGGTGACTCCTGCATGTTGGCCTTTAGCACATGAAATAATGTTCATTAGTACAGCTGCTCGGAAAAGCCGGACACGCATCCCTTTTAAAATTATTTAAACCGACCTCAATAACTTTCGCTCTCCATTTATAAGGGTACTCAACCCAACGATGTTAAAAGGATGTCATGAGATAGATAGTTCCTAGCGATCCGAAAATGTGTAACTGCAAGAAACTGTGTGTTCATTTGGCCGTATTCAGTAATGGCTTCCGTTGGACCGCTTTTTATTGCGCAATTGCACAACTCCATCATTTGTCTCTGAGTTATGTTCACGTTGCTTGTCATAAACGGTCTTTGTTTGTCGTTCGTCACAGATCGAACACTTACATGAAACGCACCTACACCTTGAACGTGTTGCGAATGAAAAATTGCGTAAATATGCGTAAGTACCCCTCCTTAGTCCTGACAGACTGCTTTATTTTTTAAGTTGGGAAGTCCCTTGCATAACTTTTATTTTGAGCTAGGCCTCCTTTACCTTACCTAAAAAAGTTTGTGAAACTCTGTTTGCGACTTCGAAATCCTTTATTTCTCCCAGAGACTTGTTTTACCTAGTCTCCATTTAGTTGTCCTTATAAATTCCTGCATCCTATCCATTTCGGTATTTAACAGACGTTAAACTTACGTGTATGGGCTAACGCGTGCATCAATTATTCTAGCTGTTGTTTCCTCTTCATTAGACAACAAATCGAGGATCAAGCAAACCGACTGGGGTCTCTTAGCCAAATTGATGCTGACTATGCGAAATTGCAATCGGAGAACAAGGTTATTTATTTCCTTTTACTCCTGAGCTTCGCTTTCAGACTACTAAGGAGGGGTTGGAATTCTACAAGGACAAGTGCAATTCTCTGGAAGGAAAAGTATGTTGGTGTTTATAAATCTGTTGCTTTGTAGAATATTGTTTGTTTACTGATAATACGCGCTATGAGCTCCCCCTGCCTTGCCTCCCACGTTTTCATCAGCAGGACCGTCCTATTTCGCACATTCTTTCCTCCCATGAGCGACTGTTTTCTCTCGCATTCAAATCGTATTCACAATTCTTTATTTTCCTAACAACGACCAATGAGTTTTTTCACTGTCTGCTCTTTTTGCTGTGTTCCACCTACTGCCTAGTGTCATTTAACATTTACAAGGAAGCAGGAATAATCTACGCCTCCGACATATCTAAAGATAAAACTTTACATTTGTACATGCTACTCACTATTTGACAGTAACATTTTATGTTGGATATATTATGTACCCAAGAGACAATTCTGAATGCTCTCACGCACACGTAAAAATTTGTACATGTATATATGTCACTCACTGTTTTATAGTGACATATTTTATGTTGGATATTTCACGCATACTGTTTTCAATAGGGTCTTCAAATGCATTGCCTACTATCCTAAATATACTGAACTATAAGCCTAGGAACCACTGCTGAATTAAATTGCGCATGTGCTTATACTACTTGGAATAAGCGAATAGTCGTGTATGTTTACTATTTTCGGCTAGCCAACGGCGCCCCGCTTTTCGTCTGTAATTTTGCAAATGACCTCTTTTCGGATTTTTCTGCGGTATTGACGTATTTCTTAGCCACTATGTTACCAATAGGGAGCGCAAAAGCGTTTGCTCATCTTTCCCTTAATTAAAGTGAACTGAAGATAAATGGCAGCAATGCATCTTGCCTGCCTCGAACTGCGACAGAAATTCGTTCAACTCTTTGCTGTTTCATGCAACTGCGTTTCCAGTTCGTTCAGTTCTTCAAAAACCTCGTATTAACTTACCAAAAGTTGTAGTGTGAATGTGTAAACCACGCGAATTCCCAAGGAGCCCGATAATGTCTTGTGCAAATTGGGTCGCGAGCGCAGCAATCTACAATTAGGCTGAGCATACGCTTTGTTAGCATAACTCTCTTTGGTTTCTAAGCAAAGAGTTGACCGATTTCTACAAAGTCCAAGAAGCTAAGTGCTTCCTGCCTTGTATTTGTTGACCTCTTCTTAAGCCGATTGGCTCCTCCCCCTACATTCGTCTACCAGCTTATAGCACTAAGACGCTGAAAAGCATCTAATTTGAGCAGTTCTCTCAGTCCCTCTGTTTTTACGCTTTCTGATATGATGAATCCGAAGTTAAAAAGGTTATTTTACACCTTCACCGACCACTGCTATTTCTTTTACTTGGACCAGTTCCAGGCATGCGCCCTAGCGTATATACAGTATCCTTGTTTGGTCCAGTATGCAGATATAAAGCCTGCCGTAAGGTCACATGAATTTCTTCAATCGATTAATTCATATCAGAATTTGGAAAATTGCTGTTAAACGTGTTCATTTTCTTTGTAGTTGGCAGAGTCGGAAAATATAATTGAATCGGAACAACGGCAGTTGGAAAAGCTGGAATCGGAGCTTAGGGAAGTGTTGCGGGAACAGAGCCAAAAGGAGGAGGATATAAGTCACTTAAGGAACCATGAGAAGTTCCTATTAAGTTGGCTGACTTGTATGTGCAACAAGTAAGTTATGCGGGCCCGGTTGCTTACGACTTGCCTGACCAATTGAAAAGTTAGTTTACCTGCGAGGTTTTGGCTTTGTAATTTTCTCAATAGATTATCTCTAAATGGAAGTAAATCAGTATATTCGAAAGTCTATTGGTGCAAACTAACGTAATTATTTACCGTACTTATAGCATCAATACTAGCTACTAGCCCGATAGACCCTTGAATATACTGCTTTGTCCAAAGTTGGAGGTTAATTTCTGAGGAAATTAAATATGTATAATTTCAAGTGATAAGTAAAAAGTGGTAACTCAAGAACTTCGCCATTAACAACTTTTAATATGCTAGAAAGGCGCTGACCGATCTGGTTGCGGAACATTATCGTTCCATTGTGCTTTGGAGCTTAATCCAGAGCCCTCACAGGCCGAAGATGGACATCATGGTGTCCGTCGTCTTTGTCGGTTCCAATTCATCAACGTTTAGCCTGAACCATGCGCAGATAGGTGTTTAGGATTCTCGACGGAATCCGAAACGTCAGGAGAA